AAAAAGCCAGTCTCTTAACAAGTTTAAAATTCCAGGTTGATACTGGAGTTGTTTTCATGCAAGTAGCCCATCATTATTTCAACCTGGGCTGAGCTGAATTTTGCCTTTGAACTATTTATGGAAAGCGGGCTTGTGAAATAAATATAAATCAAGATTTTTCTTTCCACGTAAGCATGTACAATGCAGTACAGTTTGTAAGAACTGTCACAGTGTTTTGTGAACGAAGTGCACAGCAGGTTTAAACCTCTGGGAAAAAACCCAAAACCAACCATATTTAAGAACTTTACCAAGTAAAGCATGTATTATGGATGCCAGCAATCATTAATACATATGACATTAAAAGAGCTGTGTCCATCCGTTTGTGACTTACATGTTTGAAAATGATAAAACTGCATTACTTTAAAAAACATTCCATAATTTAAGTATCTTACTCATGGAGACTAGCCTTCCCTGCAATTAATCCAAATTAAGAGGTCTACAGGAAGGGTAATAGGCTGGGGTGGGGTGGGGGGGTACCTTGTTACAAGAGAGAAACCGTTGGTAAACTCACCGCCTCCCCTGAGGGGCCCCATAAGAAAGTAGGATTTGTATATTGTGGCTAATAAATCTCCAAACTCTAGCCAATGGCCCATTTATGTTTGGTAATATCAATATAAGTTCCGTAATAATTTATTTTCATTAAAATAGTTTCCAACATAAGCAGAAAAGCCAGGCAGTCCTCTGGCGTGTGTATTAGCCACCTGCTTGTATATCATTCTCAGCATTCGGTGAGCGGGCACTTGAGTGGCCCGATAATGGTTAATATTCATCAAAGAACTAAGTGCATCCGAGGGAGGAGAAAAATCCGTGGTTGTCAATACCTGTGTACGGCTCATTCTTGACAGTTGATGCATTTTGGTAGCGAGGAAACGCTTAGATAATGGAACCTGTAGCAAAACCTCAGGCAAAAGCTGCATTGTTACTGTTGCATCCAAACTTCAGACGTAAGAGCAGTCGGGGGTCTGGTGCCCATCTAATTTCTGATCACCTACTGTCCTACTGTCAGGGAATTCTGAAGATCAGTACCAGACCTGAAAGCCGTGTGACAGAAAGGAGGAGAACAAAGAAAAAACGAAATCCAACGTGGTGTTCTCAAGTAACCGAGATCTGTTTCTTTGTGCCAGGGAGGATGGGTTGGAAGGAAATCCTATCGCCTGAGTGTTGACGTACAGTAAAACCTTGGTTCACGAGCATAATTCGTTCCGGAAACATGCTTCTAATCCAAATCACTTGTATGTTGAAGCAAATTTCCCCATAAGAAATAATGAAAACTCAGAGGATTTGTTGCACAACCCCAAAACATTCATATAAAAATGATTACAATACTGTAATATAATGCAAAATAGTAA